ATTTGCTGTTTTTTCTCTAGCTCCTTTATGTGTAAGGTTAGCTTTTGTATTTGAGTTCTTTCCAGTTTTTGAATGGATGCTTGTATTGCGATGTATTTCCCCCTCAGGACTGCTTTTGCTGGATCCCAAAGATTTTGAACGGTTGTATCTTCATTCTCATTAGTTTCCATGAATCTTTTTAATTCTTCCTTAATTTCCTGGTTGACCCTTTCATCTTTTAGCAGGATGGTCCTTAACCTCCACGGTTTGAGGTCCTTCCAAACTTCTTCTTGTGATTGAGTTCTAATTTCAAGGCGTTATGGTCTGAGAATATGCAGGGGACGATCCCAATCTTTTGGTATTGGTTCAGACCCGATTTGTGACCCAGTATGTGGTCTATTCTGGAGAAAGTTCCATGTGCACTTGAGAAGAATGTGTTCAGTTGAGTTTGGATGTAAAGTTCTGTAGATGTCTGTGAAATCCATCTGGTCCAGTGTACCATTTAAAGCTCTCGTTTCTTTGGAGATGTTGTGCTTAGAAGACCTATCGAGGGTAGAAAGAGTTAGATTGAAGTCACCAAGTATAAGTGTATTATTGTCTAAGTATTTCTTCACTTTGGTTAATAATTCGTTTAAGTATTTGGCAGCTCCCACATTCGGGGCATATATATTGAGGATTGTTAAGTCCTCTTGCTGGATAGATCCTTTAAGTATGATATAGTGTCCCTCTTCATCTCTCACTACAGTCTTCGGGGTAAATTTTAGTTTATCTGATATAAGGATGTCTACCCCTGCTTTCTTCTGAGGACCATTTGAATGGTAAATGGTTCTCCAGCCTTATATTTTCAGGTTGTAGGTGTCCTTCTGTCTAAAATGAGTCTCTTGTAGACAGCAAATAGATGGGTCCTGCTTTTTTAGCCAGTCTGAAACCCTGTGCCTTTTGATGGGGTCATTAAGCCCGTTCACGTATAACTGGTTTTTCAAATCAGGATCCAGATAGGGTTTATTCATTGTAATTGGTTCATATCTTTAATCATTTGTTGAAGAAACAGAGTAATTTGTCCTACAGAACTCCTCACATTCTGTATTTGTTGATTACATGCTGGAACGTTTAACATTTATTCTATCCCTGTATTTCTTGTAGCGGTATCATCAGACTCAAGTCTGGTTTTAGGGGGCAATACTCTTGTAAGTAATGGGGTTTATTTCCTTTTGTATTACATTGAAAGATAGATAATGTCTGGCTATTCACTTTGTGTGATTTTAAGATTGGTCATGTGTAAATTAGCCAGTCAGTGAGCAGTACAATTGATTATGTATATTAATCTTTTATTCAGTAATCATGATGAGTTTACTTACTGGTTTCTAGCAACTTACTGGTTCAGCACTTTCTACATACACAGTCATGTCTGTCAATAAATTGTTTATTTTTCCTTTCCAATCCATGCCTTTTATTTCTTTTTCTTGTCTTATCAAGGTGGTTGGAATCCCCAGTCAATTTTGAATAGAAATGCTAAGAGTAGATATCTTTGCTGTGTCACAATCTTGGGAATAATGCATTCAGTCTTTTACCAATATAGTGTTAGGCTGTAGGTTTTTCTCAGATGCCCTTTATCATGTTGTGGAAGTTCTCATCTGTTCCTAGTTTTCTGAGAATCTTTCTCATGAATGAGTGATTTTGTCAAGTGCTCTTTTTCCTCATTTAATGAGTTTTTTTTTTTTTTTTTTTTTTTTTTAGGATTGTTAATATTGAAGCAGGCTTGCATTCCTGGGCTAAGCTACACTGGTCATGATCTCTTACCTTTATATATTGTGGTTTTGATTTGCTAAAAGCCCATTAATTTTTGAGTTTGTGTTTATGAAGTTTATTGATCTTTGGTTTTCTTGTAATTTCTTTTTTTTCTGGTTTGGTATTGGGATCATGCTGTCCTAATGAAATGAACTGAGAACTGTATCTTTCTCTTCAGTGTAGTGGAAGAATTTGTGTGGAATTGATATTGTTCCATTGTCATCTTTTTTTGCATTGTTTTTAGTGGGAAATATGATACCATTCTTAATCTTTGTTGCTCTGTATGTGCCTTTTTTTTTCTGATTTTAAGATTTTCTTTTTCACTGATTTTGAATAATTTAATTAAGATGTATCTTGTAGTTTTCTTCTTGTTTCTTGTGCTTGAAGTTCTCCGAGCTTTCTGAATCTTCTGATGTAGTTTTTGGAAAATTTCAGTCACAATTTTTTCAAAATGATTTCTGCCATTTTCATGTATTTTGGTTCCTTGGTGTTTCATTTTGGATAATTTCTGAGGCTGTGCCTTCATATACACTAATCTTTTTTCTGTAATGTCTAAATTGCTGTTAATCCTATCCAAGGTATTTTTCAGCTCAGACAATTAAAAAAATCTTTAAAATTCTATTTGAGTCTTTTTAACATTTTCTATGTTTTTACTTAATAGGCTCATGCTTTTTTCTACCATTTAAACATATGGGGTATAGTCTTAGTAAATGGCGCTCATGTCTCTGTCTACTGATTATAGCACCTCTGTCATTTTTTTTTTTTTTTTTTTTTTTAGATTTTATTTATTGGTAAAAGAGGCAGAGACATAGGCAGAGGCAGAAGCAGGCCCCCTGAGGAGCCCGATGCAGGACTCGATCCCAGGACTCCGGGATCACATCCTGAGCCAAAGGCAGATGATCAACCACTGAGCCACCCAGGTGCCCTCTGTCATTTCTACTCAAACTGAACTGATCTTTTTCTCCCCACTAGTCATGGGTCATGTTTCCTGTTTCTTTACATGCCTGGTTGTATTTGATTCATTGCTGACAGTGTCAGTTTTACCTCGTTGTATCCTGGGTATTTTTTATTCCTTTACATATTTTTGAGCTTTGTTCTAGAACACCGTTGTTGCTTGGCTATAGTTTGATACTCTTAAGCAGGATTTGGCAAACTACAGATTGCAGGCTGACTTTAGTCATGCCTGTTCATTTACATTGAATCTGCAGTTCCTTTTGTGCTACAATCACAGAATAGGATGTGACAGAGAAACCAGATGGCCTGCCAAGCTCAATATTTATTACCCAGTCCTGTACAGAAAAGGTTCATTGTCCCTTACTTTTGAAGACTTATCTTTAAGCTTTCTGGCAAGACTGGAGCACCTTTGGGGGTAAGGCTCCCCCGTCCTGAGGTGGTTACACTTCTCAGTGCTGTACCTGATGCTTGTGTTTCGTGAGGTTTCTCACTTGGACTCGCTGGTAGACAACCATTGTGTACCCTGTTGGCTCTCTGGTGATTATTCCATCTGCTCCTTTCCAGTGATTTCTCTCCCTCACTTTGGGTACTTTCTTCACATGCATGGGCTGCCCAGTCCTCAGCTATAAAATTGAGGGGAGTCATGGCAAACCGTGGAGCACTCTCTCTCTTGCTTTCTGATTCTCAAGTGCTCTGCCCTGGGAATTATAGCTGCCCTGGCCTCCAGCACTTCTCTGCTCTGCCTCATGGGTTCATTGAGCTGTGTTTGGGCTCTCTGTCCCCGTGTTGCCAGCCCTCCACAGGCAGTAAACCAGGCAGGTGTACCCACCCCCTCATCTCTTCCCTTCTCTTGTTCACCGTTCGGGCTGTCAGTTGTCCCATTATGTTACAGCTGTACTTTCATATCTTTTGTCTGTTTAGAAAAGGTTTTAAGGGGCAGGATGGTGAATCTGGTCTCTGTTACCCTATCAGGGATGGATGTGGAAGTCTTTAGCCCTTAACATTTAATAACAAAAGGTAATAGTAGCAAATTCAGTGTTTCTGTTGCCAGAGAACGTACTGGTTCTTTTTACCACATTTTGTGTCTTAGGAGCCCTTTTCTCTCTTGACATTCTTACTTTGAATTACTATAAAAGTTTCCTCTAATATCTCTTCCCCTTTTCTTTCCAGCCGTAGATAAAGCTGTCAGAAGCACAGTTATCATGGAAATAGAAACATTTAAATTACTGGCACGATAAGCTTATTTCTTGCTGTAGCCATTCAGAATATCGATTTGTCACTGCCTTGGGTTCTTTGAAGTGAAGCTGTGCTTAGATATAAAAAGTTTTAAAACCCACTTTGATTCTATGTGAAGTTCACAGTTTTTACAGTGCAGTTCTAGAGGTTAGTTCAGTTGAAACCGTGTGACTCTCTTCTCAAACGCAGAATCCTTTAGTGTAGTATTTGACATGCTTAGATTTTTAGACATTGCCGACCCGCTACAGGCCTCACTAATGTCATTTGTTTTTCTTTAGTTTTCTTACCCTCATTTCATAGCTGGTACTGCTATGCAAAATCAGCAGTTTTAAAATAACGTACTGTGATTATTTTCTCCCTCTGATTATCTCTAATAAAATGAAAAAAAAAAAAAAACCCCAAAGTGGTAACTTTGATATCAGATAGGATGTCTTGGAAGAGATCAGATGGGCTATCAGTATTTTTTTTTTTTTTTTTTAATGCTTTGGATATTGTCTTGCTGTTTGGGGGTTGAGCTTTTTCAGAACTGCTTCCCTCAGTGCTGCTAAGAATAGAGGAACTTTGTAGGAACATTTTTTCTTTTAAGAGGTAATTTTTCTTGCTAAGTATGCCATAAAAAATTGAAGAATGATCTTAATTTCTCATTTTAAAATGACTGTCATACTGAGCCAGACTATTTAACACTTCAGAGTTAGGACACATGGATTCGTCAATAAATTTAAACATGATAGTAGAGTCCATTACTACTAAGTTGTTTGAGTAATATATTATATTCACATTTTAAATAGATATTGATCCTCATTCAGTGACTGAATTGGAGCATCTCAATTCTTATAAAATTGCTGATTCTTTTCTACTTTGTAGGTATGCAGCCAGACATAAATTCTAGTCAACATTCCACAGATTTTCCTTAACCTTTGTTTCTTTACACAGTACTCTTAGGAAGTAATAATATTTTTTGCATACTAAAAACAGCAAAAAGAAATAGTTTTTAAAACAACAAACTTGTAATATATTACCTTGTGTTTAATTATGTCTTGAAGGTACTTGAAGTTTATTGAGTTGCCCTTGTCTCAGAGAAAGTTTTGTCAAAGATGTCAGCAGTTGCTGTTGCCAGATGATTGGGAGAAGCATCATGAGCATCGGGTAGTAGGTGATATTTCTATCACCCAGTTAAGAAGGCCCAGTCAGCTTCTTTATCCATTGGAAAACAAGAAGACAAATGCCCAGTATTTGTTTGCTGATCGGAGCTGTCAGTTCTTGGTAGACCTACTTCCTACCCTTGGATTCACAAGAGTGCTCTGTGTTGGAACACCAAGGTATGCTATATATTTTTTAAAAAACTTCTACTATCCCCACTATCTAAGCTGTAAGAAAAAATAATCAAGTAGTTGTTTGCTATGTTCTGGGACATGGCATGCAGTTTTAAATATACAAAAGAAGTATAAAGCATGGTCCCTCTCTTGAGTTTGTAATCTATATTACATTTGAGAAAAAAATCCTTACAGATTTCTGATAAATGATAGGAGATTGCTTCTGATTTGATTCTTAAATTGTTTATAACTTTAGAGTTCTTGTTTTCAAATAAGTTCTACATTGGAAAAGCTGAAATCTTGGTTATATCTGCCAAATTCTTTTCAGTGTTTCATTGAAATACTAGAAATACCAGGAGAACATCAGTGGGGTTTTTTTGGTTTATTTGCTTATTATCTATGGCGTTTCTAATTCCTTATTAAGTTTGCTTTCATTAATTGTTTTAGGTTACATGAGCTGATCAGATTGAAAGCATCAGATGACAAGAAATCTAACATTAAAAGCCTTTTATTGGATATTGATTTTCGGTAGGTTTATAGAGTATGATACTTATTGTCATTCATTGTCATCTGTTTCTGTTTAATGTTTTTCTCTTATTAATTATTACCTATTACAATACTCTAACGTTCAGAGTAGTAATTGGTTAGAAGCCACCTTTTTAGTCATATAAACCCCCCCTTGTAATCTTCTGTATTTCAAACAAGATGGCAGTGGATTTCTTTCTTTTTTTTTTTCTGGATATGCTTCCTAAATTTTTTCAATGGATGTGTCTCATTGACTTGGGCTTGTAATTTAGAGATAAATTCTTACTGAATGAAATTTCTCTTCATACACTTATTTTTCAAAGATAATTCTGAACTTCTTCAAGGATTTTATTTCATCATGATGTTTTAATATATTTATTTTAATACTTATTTAATTTGTATTTATTTTTATTTGTTTTAATTCTTTCAATATATTTTATTTTAATGCATTTTATTTATCCTAATTTATTTTAATATATTTTACAAGATGATGTGCATATTGTCTTTCATTGGATGTAGCCTAAAGTCAAGGGAATGCCACCAGGGAATAGACAGGTCTTAAAGCAGAGGATTAATGAATAGATCCGAGTCTGTGGGACAGGGTTAGAATTAAATGGCATCTGATGTGTTGGGACAAACGGAGATGAAACTGGCAGAGGAGCACACCTGGAGCTAGCTCCCTGCAAGTGGTAATTTAGAAAAGCTCATGTGTCCATCCACAGTCTCTGGGATCCTATAGACTTGGATTACTCTTCCTACTTTCTGTAACTGTTTGAATTCCATGAGATCATGGTGAGTCTACAAAACACCGTGTTCTTAGTATCTTTTACCTGTTCTTGAATACATTGAAGGAGGCAAGCACTGCATTTCTTTTTACTTGATCTGATAGTCTGTTTGGCCAGTATCCCAATATTTGTTAGAGAGAACCTAGGAAATTACATGTGCTTTTCTCTCCCCAAAAACAAGGTGGACAGAATTCTGAAGTGTAAAAAGTCACAAGATGAAGTACAGCTTTTTTAATTTATTTATTTTTTTTAGATTTCCAGGTCAACTTTAGATTGTCTAATAAAAGTAACTGTGTTTCTCAGAAATAAGCCACACTTTCTGTAGCCTCTCATTCCTTATTAACAGGACTAGTACAGTTTACTAATCTCCACTTAACATGAGTAATGCTCAGTACAGTGGAATTCCATAGGTGATAAAACAATTTTTTTTTTAAGATTTTATTTATTTATTCATGAGGGTCACACAGAGAGGCAGAGACACAGGCAGAGGGAGAAGCAGGCTTCCTGCAAGGAGCCTGATGTGGGGCTCAATCCCAGGACCCCGGGGTCATGCCCTGAGCTGAAGGCAGACGCTCAACACTGAGCCACCCAGGCATCCCTAAGACAGACTTTTTAAAGAAAAACTCAATTTCCTTTTCTTAAGTTGGGATATAATGCACTGAAAACCCACCAAGTTAAGGTATATATGCCGGTGGTTTGGGGTATATTCATTACGTTTTGCACCAGTCACCCTTATCCAATTCCGGAATGTTCCCATCACACTGAAAAGAAACCCTCTCCCCACTTCCTCTGATGATCTGTCTCTGTGGTCTGTGTGTTCTGTGTGTGTTCTAGAAATGGAATCCTGCTGTACGTCCTAAGCGTGTGGCCTCTTTCACATGCTGCTGTGTTCATCCAGCGCATACTATCTAACAGGGCTGTATTAACACTCCACTGTATAGATGTATCGGATTCTTGTTGTAAATACCACATCCCTTTCCTTAAGAATGACTGTCAAATTACCGTAAAGGTATTATTTTAAGGGTAGAAGTTTAACTTTGGCGTTCTTATCAAAACAATACGGACAATAACTGGGGTTGGCGCTGAATGCTTGTCCTGTGTCAAACCCTGCTCTGCCTTAGTCAGTGCTCACAAGAGCCTCCCCTGTAAGGGAGGTGCTGGCATCCTCCTCATTTGCCGATGAGAAACCCGGGCTGTGGAGACGTGAAATAACTTGACCTCACAGTTCTGAGTGGCCACGTCAGGGTTCAGACCCGGTCAGTCTGGCTCCAAACATTAAGATGCCCTCCGGAAGTAACCTGTACATAAGCGTTTTTTATACAGCCCGTTTCTCGGTCGTCGTCCTTCTGTGTCTCCCCTTCTCCGCCTACCCCCGTGCCTGTTCCACGGAGGTGCATGTGAGTCAATAGTGGCTTTGCAGGTTACTCACATATTTAGAATAAGGCACTCCGTAGTCAGGCCCCTTACACTGGAGCCCTGGAAATCTGTGTCTGTCAGAGAGCCTAAGATACAGCAGGCCTCGGCGCACGCGAGCTCCTGGGCCTTGCCCACTGTTGTTCGCACTCCATCCTTCTCTCTCTACCTCTTGTTCTGTCTTTCCCTGGATTAGCTTTATGCTCCAGTTTACTTCACGCTCACTGCCAGGGATTTTGGCAGCTGCAGCTTTCAGCTTATGTAGTCCCAGCTCAACTGTCCAGGAGACAGAGGCACTCTTTCCTGAGCCCCAGCAGCATAGCTCCAGGGAGGGATGGCTCACCTGGAGTCATATGCCCGTTCCAGAGCCTTCTCTGTGGCCTCGCAGGTAGGATGCCCTGGCAGTCCTGACCAACTACATAGAGTGGGTTCACCACAGGAAACCCTCACTTACATAGGTGCATGAGAAACAGCAAACAAAAATAATAATCACATGTCCACAACCAAATTATTTAACATAATGTGTGTCAGTTGTCAGCAGCACCCACTTCCTACCGTTGGGACTTTTACCTCAGTGAAAATGGTACAGTGTTGTCTTTCTAATAGTATGGTTCTTTGAAGTTATCATACAATTTGTATTCTGATTTTGTTTAAGTCAAGCTTTTTTCAAGGTTTAGTTGCAGTGGGCTGGTTTATACACAAACTAGAAAAAAACTGACTCATCTTGACTTGTTCAAATTTGAAGGATCCTCTGGTTTACTTTTTTTTTTTTTTTTTTAGCTTTCTAAAGAGACATGGTCTTTAAAACTGTCACCCAAAACATTCTAGATTTTGGCTTTTTAGACCTTTTTAATGCATACAAACATTTTAAAAAGTAAGAATCATATAGTCTTTTTTTCCCTACCATATATCAGGCATATATTTTTTTTTTAAATTGAGGCATATTTCACATAGAAAAAAGAGGTGTTTAGTGTTATTCAAAAGGTTGCACAACTGTCACCATTATGTAATTCCAAAACATTTCCTTTAATAAGTGATCTCTCGGGATGCTTGGGTGGCTCAGTGATCGATCATCTGCCTTTGACTCAGGGCGTGATCCTGGAGTCCGGGGATCGAGTCCCACATCGGGCTTCCTGTGTGGAGCCTGCTTCTCCCTCTGCCTATGTCTCTGCCTCTCTCTCTCCCTCTCTCTCTCTTGTGAATAAATAAATAAAATCTTTAAAAAAAAAAATAAAGTGATCTCTTTTCCTCCTCCCCCAGCCCTTGGCGGCCACTAATCTACTTTCTATCTCTATAGGTTTGCTGCTTCTGGATATTTCATAAAAATGGAATCATACAATATGTGGCTTTTATTATCTAGCTTCTTTCATTTAGCATGATATTTTCAAAGTTTATCCATGTTACAGCATGTATGAGTACTTAATTCCTTTTTATGGCTGAATAAATACTCCATTATAATGATATAACAGATTTTGTTTATATGCTCATCAATTTATGGACATTTGTGTTTCTTCCATGTTTTTGCTATTTTGAATAATGCAGCTATGAACATTTGTGTACAAGTTTTATATGAATATAGGTTTTATTATCTCTTGGGTATTGGGTTAATTTGCGAGGGCTGCAATAACAAAATAATCATATTGAGTAGCTTATACAACAATAATTTATTGTCTCCATTCCGGCGGCTAGAAGGAGAGAGAGAATCTTAGGCTCAATGCCCAACACGGACCCCAATGTGGAAGCCAACACTGGGCTTGATCTTATAACCCAGAGATCATGACCTGAGCTGAAATTAAGAGTGGATGCTCAATCAGCTGAACCACTCAGGCACCCCTATTATCTGTCTTTCTAATGTGGTATCTCATTGTGATTTTGTTTTGCATTTTATCAATGGCTAATGATGCTGAGCATCCTTTCATATGCTTATGGGCCATTTGTTTATCTTTTTGGAGTAAGGTCTATTTAATCTTTTGCCTATTTTTTAATTGGTTGTCTTGTCTTTTTGTTGTTGTTGTTAAATTGAAAGAGTAGTTAATATATTCTGGATACTAGACCCTTACTAGGTTTATGATATATAAATATTTTCTCCCTTCCCATGGGCTATCTTTTCACTTTTGTGTCCAATTTTTCTCCTCTTTCTTTGGTTACTTGTGTTTTAGGTGTCATATCTAAGAAATGATTGCTAGATTCAAGGTCATGAATATTTCACAATGTTTTCTTTTAAGAATTTAATGATTTTAGCACTCACATTTAGGTCTTTGATCTATGTTGAGTTGTTTTTCATTTACGGTGTGAGGTAGGGGTCCAACTTCATTCTTTTGCACGTGAATGCCCAGTTGCCTCAGCACCATTTGTTGAAACAATTATTTTTCTCTCATTGAGTTGTCTTGGTACCTTACTAAAAATGAATTGACCATAAATGTATGCAGGTTTTTTTGGACTTTTAATTCTGTTCATTTGACCTATGCTTGTCCTTATGTTAGTTCCACACTGTCTTGATAACAGTTGCTTTGTAGTAAGTTTTGATACTGGAAAGTGTGAGTCTTCCAGCTGTATTCTTTTTCAAGATTGTTTTGGATATTGTGGGTTCCTTGCCTTTCTATATAAATTTTAGGATCAGCTTGTCAACTTCTATAAAAAAGCCAGCTTGGATTTTTATAGGGATTTCATTACATTTTTTAACTTGGAGGCTAGTTCTATCTTAATATTAAGTCTTCCAATTCTTGAACATAAGAGGTCTTTCCATTTATTTAGGTCATTTTTATTTTTATTTTTATTTTTTTTTAAGATTTTATTTATTTATTCATGACAGACACAGAGAGAGAGGCAGAGACACAGGCAGAGAGAGAAGCAGGCTCCCCGCAGGGAACCCGATGCGGGACTCGATCCCGGGTCCCCAAGATCACACCCCGGGCTGAAGGCGGCCCTAAACCGCTGGGCCACCGGGGCTGCCCTATTTAGGTCATTTTTAATTTCTTTAAATGATATTTTGTAGTTTTCAGCATACAAGTCTTAGCGTGTCTTATTCCTAAATATTTTTTTTTGCTGCTATTATAAATTAAATTTTCAAATTTCATTTTGTACTGTTCATTGCTAGTGTCCTGACTTTTTTTTTTTAAAAAAAAACTGTAATAAAATACACATAGGTTAAAATTTACCATGTTATTTAAGTGTACAGTTCAGTAATGTTAAGTAAGTTAAATACCTTCACATTGTTGTACAACTACTTACTGGAACTCTTTTCATCATAGCTGAATTCAAATTTTAATTTGAAAGATTTATTTGGACCCTTAATTTTTCATTTAAGCTATTTGTCTTATAGTTTTACATTTCTTGGGACTGTATATTTAAATCTCTTGGACAGAGTAGAGGATGTGCATAAAGTTATTTTGTAACTTATTGAATGTACTGATACTTTTTTCTTTCATACCTATAAATGTGTGTTTTGGAAACAAAAAACTGAAGGTGTTAATCAGCTTAGCTGCTTTTATACTGAGTCAGATCTGTAAAAGGTTGACATTGGGTATTAAGAGAGAGCTCTTTGGGGCACCTGGGTGGCTCATTCCATTAAGTGTCCCAATCTTGATTTTGTCCCACATGAGTTTCCCACTCATGGCTCAGGTCATGATCTCAGGGTGGTGAGATTGAACCCCGTGTTGGGCTCTGAGCTGGGTAAGGAGCCTGCTTGGGATTCTCTGTTCCTCCCCCTTCCCACAATAAATTAAAAAAAGAGAGAGGGAGCTCATTTATTAAAACACAGTAGTGATCAGAATGAACTGTATCTGTTGCCTGTACTCATGATATTACAGGGTATGGAGTTGATTTGTATTTCTCGCTAGGACCACAGTTAAATCAGGAATAAGTTCCTATGTGATACAGAGTGAGAGTGAGTAGTTACTTTTCACACTTTTTTGGTTTGTTGCCCTACCAAAGGTCTGTCCAAGGCTTCAGAGAACTGCCTCAACTCCAGTGTTACATATGCTATAAATATTCTCTTTGTTGGGGGGGGTCTAAGATATGAAGTTAACATTTGCTAAGATGGATTTTTAAATGCTCCAATTTTAGCATGAAGGATGTGAAGCTCTATTTGGCAAACTATCATCCAAATAAAGTTATATCAAAAAAATGAATTTCTTAGGTTCATTTCATGGACTAATTTTATTCAGCTCTTGATTACATTTCCTGTGTATAGAGCATGTTTCACACTTGGTAACTGACTCTCATTTAAAGAGAATGAATGGCCAAATTAAATGAATGTCCTTTTGCAGTTTTCAAGTGCATGCATTTCTGATTGGTTTTGTTTGCCTTATTCAATAGAGAGAATAATTCTTTGAGGCCAATTTCATTTTAAGAGGGTAATGTTCAGTGATTTTTCATAATTTAAAATATGAAAAATTATGCTCCCTTGTTTGTATCTGATGGAAACTCAGAGCTGAAATCTTGGCTTTATTCTCTCTCTGACTCTGCCCACTGCTGCCCAGAATGATTTGGACAAGTGTGCTAGGCTGAATTTTATGTAAATAAAATTTTCGTTTTTAATTTTTAAAAAATGACTATTGTGTCTTTGAGAAGCAATACAAAAAGGTGAAAAGGGAGTAGGAATATATTTTAAAAGGGATTGTATTTTCCTTTGTTACAAAGCAATGCAAGAAAGAAGACAATCCTCAAATGATAGTTGATCCACAGTGGTACTAATATTGAGATATACCTATACATAAAATAACTGATATTATGTATTATCAGTTATTTGGAATTTAGTTTATTTGGAAGACATTTGTTTATTAATAATTGACATTGTCCACAGTTTTTGGAATGTTCATCAGGTTAAAATATATAGTTTGAATGTTTTTCAGTTACCCAAACCTCTTATTTTTTCAGTGCAAATTTATGTTTTATGGAATCAGCAGATGTACTAAGTGTCTCAAATGATATTAAGGGGCATTGTACTTAGAATGAACAGCTGTTCTTCTGTCTCTACAGAACAAGAAGAAATGGGTTTAGACTACAGGAGGAGAAATTTTGATTGGACATAAGCATAATTCCCTAATATGAGGGGCATTAAGACATAAATCATTATAGCTGATATTTATTAAAATAGCAATGCCTAACATTTCAGCATATGCTATGTAGCTCCTTTATATTAAGCAGTTTACATACCGTTTCACTTACACTTAAGTTCTATGCAGTAGACACTATTATTTATTCCATTTTGTGGATGAAAAACAGGCTCAGATAGGTTAAATAACTCACCAAGTTAGGTAATAAGTGACACAACTAGTGTTTTCTTTTAAAGATTTTATTTTGAGAGAGAGTGAGCGAGCAAGAGTGATCACAGGAAGGAGCAGAGAGGGACGGCAGAGAGACAAGCAGGGAAGCTGCTTGGAGTCCTATGTCTCGCTCGATCCCACCACCCTGATTTCAGGACCTGAGCCAAAATCAAGAGTGGGATGCCTAACCGACCAAGCCACCCAGGAGCCCTGAGACCCAGTGTTTGATACCAGACTGACTGTAGAGCCTGTATTTTTCTTTAAGATTTTATTTATTTATTTGAGAGAGAGAGCAAGAGAGAACACGAGTGAGGATGGGGGAAGAGGCAGAGGGAGAGGGAGAAACAGGCTCCCCGCTGAGCAGGGTGCCTGACATGGGACTGGATCATGACCTGAGCAGAAGGAAGGCTGACACTTCACTGGCTGAGCCACCCAGGCGCCCCCTAGAGCCCATTTTAACCACGGTGTAATAGGGGGAGGATAAAGCAGGGCTTTCCACTAGGGGGTGAGTCAATTATGAACAGTAAGGGAGGACAGAGCAGAAGTAGAAGCAAAGTGTCACTCTCATGATTTGGTTAAAGAAGTTGTGTAAGTCAGCATGGGTCCCTGATTTTTTCCACTAGGTTATGAATTCTGTAGAAGGGTGGTGTGGTTCTTACGTGAATTGTTTATAGCAAAATTTTAGAAGTTCAGAATTCTATCATAATAAAAAAGTTTCTATATTATACAAAAAACTCAGAATTCACCAAGAACTAACAAGACCCATATACATAAATATGGGAAAGACGTAAAGACCGATAATACAAATACAATTAAAGAGTACAGAAAATTCCAGTCTTGTAAGAAATCAAATAAATGCCAGTTTAAACCATAATGTGCTATGAATTTTTAGTAAATTAGCAAAAATTTATAAAATGTTAATGCACAAAGCTGGGACTCTCATTCATTACTTTTTTTTTTTAATGTTCCATTTATTTATTCATGAGAGACACAGAGAGAGGCAGAGACACAGGCAGAAGGAGGAGAGGCAGGCTCTATGCAGAGAGCCCGATGTGGGACTCAATCCTGAGACTCTGGGATCACACCCTGAGCCAAAGGCAGATGCTCAACCAGTGAGCCACCCAGGCATCATCCCTCATTCATTACTGATTGCATTTTAAAGTAGGATGTTAGAAGAATAAAATGGTTCAGTCAGTAAATAAATATCTCTCTTTCCTGGCACTAATTCAGTAAATATGAAATGTACATACTTATTTTTCTTATATATTGAGAAGCATATTTTATAGAATTAATCTGCAATAGACAAGAAATGCTTTGTATTAAACATTTTTTTTGTTAACCACAGAAGATAATTAACAGCTGTTGAGCAGAAATGTTGATTCAGTATTTTTCTTAAAATTATTAAGTATGAGAGATGTATTTTAATTGCCAACCCATCTCAAACTTAAATTGCATAACAATCTATCAGTAATCTCATTGTTTCTGTATAATTCTATGGTCTGAAGGTATGTTGTGCATTTTATATTTGCGTCTTCTGTAGTTTTTTTCACTGGCTTATTGGGAACATAATTTAAGTTTGATATCTATTCATTATCACTGACTCCCTAGGATTTGGGGAAAGTATCCTTTATTTCAAAAAAACTAAGGAATGATGAAGTTGCTTAATTTATTAAAGGTGTGATTTCATAGTTTAAAATTTTAATATGTATTTATTTACTGTATAGCCATAACCGGACAGATAACTACAGTAATAAATTATTTTACAGGTATTCACAGTTTTATATGGAAGATAGCTTTTGCCATTATAACATGTTTAACCATCACTTCTTTGATGGAAAGGTAAGAATTATGACCGTTATCTTTTTTATTGTGGAAGAGCAAATTTAAGAGTACCTCCTTTCTTATTTGCTTAGAGTTCTTCAAGATCAAATCATGGCTGTTCAACCATTTATTGGTATTTATTTTTCTTCATCCACGGTGTGTGTGTTGAGCATCTAGAAGTGATTGTGTTATTCTTCTTCTGTGACTTTTTACCGCTTTTTGGATACAGACCCACTTTCCTACCAAGGCCCCAATGGCTTGGCCTTATCTGATCTCTGTCGCCCTCCATCTTATTGTTCCATGCTCTGGTGTTATGTTCACGTTCAGGATGTAGGACTTTCACCTGGAACTGGCTTTTCCATCATGAAGGCTTTTGCCCATGCTGTTCCCTCTGCCTTCTAGTCTCATTTTGCCTTGTTAACTTCACCTCATCTTTTAGAGCTCTCCTCCAAGTCACTTTCTCCAGTCTCCTCTGAGCCCCAGACAAAGTCAGGTTTCCTTTGTTGCTATATGATGCCGTAATTAAATAATTCTGTGGTTAGTTGTTTGATGTCTGCCTCCCTTGTAAATTTCATGTTGCAGTTAAGGGGATTTATAGTTTTATTAAACTAATTCTTAAAAATTAGGGTCGAAAGTGAACCCTAATCTGTGAACTCTGGGTGATAATGATGTGTCAGTGCAGGTTCATTAGTTGTGGAAAATGTACCACCTGGTGGGGAATGTTGATAATGGAGGAGACCATCCATGTATAGCAGGGGTAGCTTCTTTCAATAATACGATGTTAGTAATGTCACTATAAATAAACAACATAGCAGAGCTGATACTTCTAGTTTGAGCTCTTCGCCAGTCCTATTATAGAATAAAAACTATATCCAACCAAGTAATCATACCTGACAGGAAGTTGGCTGCAACTGTTTGAGATGATCAAGACTACCAGAAACACATATCCTTCTATGCATGTATATCAATTTTTTAAAAAACTGTGAGCCATGTAGAAGTATATGTTGTTTTAGGTTATTAATAATAGGACAAAAACCAAGCAAAACTAAAAAACTGTGTATCCAGACAAGGAAAACAAATTCTGATTGTTGGTTGGGATTGGAAAAGAGTCTCCTGATCCAGTCTAGCCAATGGTGTACTCCTTCCATGAGCCTCAGTCAGCATTGGGATATATATTTTTTAGCTGCGATAGCCGTGGAAAGCAAATATGAAATAAATAGCAGTTAGAATTAGACATACTTCACAGTTTCCCAAAGGGCTTATGTGGTCGATAATCTCTAGGATTTGGGAACCGATTAGATGAGTGTGAAGGAGAGAGAGGAATTGCAGACTCACTTGACAACAGACCACAGTGGACTTCTCAGCTAGGCCAGTAGCTGTGGGGAAGAGAGAGGTGGATTCTGTAGTCATTTCACAGATGGAAACGAGATTTGGTGGTACGTGTACTGGATGAGAAGTCAGAGATGACCTTGTGGTCCAGCCTGGCTTTGTATTTCATTCTTCTATGTTTCTCATGCCATACCATGATTTTGCTTTCTATCTTGAACAGTAATGGTGAGATAAGAGTGAAATGACATTTGAATACCTAACAGCTGACTGTTGCTTCTATTTTAAGAACGTAACTTGTAATTAGCCTTTTCCTAGGAAATTCTTTTTAATTTTTATTGAAAGTTTGTGGAATTACCTTATAAGTTTCTAGAATAATGGTTGGAATATGCTGCCAAGACTGAGCTCCACTTTATTTTTCCCAGAAGAAAATAATCGTCTAGCCCAGGTTTTCCTTTCTCTATATTTTAGGAGCAGCCTTAAATAGCACTGCAACTGTAGAGATTGATCTACAGAAAACTGTTGTCTTGGATGATTTTACTATCTGCCCTTTTTCTGCCTACTTCCTGAGTCAAGGTTTTCAGTGGAGCCTTACCATCCACTGATCAATCACTTGAGTATTTAAGCGTCTACCAGGGGCCTGTGAAGGTGTGCAGGGCGCTTTGGGGGACATAAGCCTCCATTGATGCCTATAAGCACTTCACAGCCCACTGAATTAAAAAGCAGGAGCTCCCTGCGCAGGATTTTCTCATAGAAAATCATACAGTCTTTAAGGTAATAGAAAATGTCATATACCTTAATGGTCAAGGAAGTTGAAGTATGTACAGGGGATGGTTATTTAAAGTGCCAAGCATTTTGGGGCTCCTGGGTGGCTTAGTTGGTTAAGTGTCTGCTTTTGGCTCAGATCATGGTCCCAGGGTCCTGGCTTCCAGCCCTGCATCAGGTTCCCTGCTCAGTGGAGAGTCTGCTTCTCTCTCTCCCTCCCCTCCTACACCTGCCTTCCACTCGCGGGCTCTCTAAAATAAATAGATAAATAAATAAATCTTTTAAAAAGAAAAATAAAGTATCAAGCACTTTTTAAAATGATGATTGAAATGAAGGGAAGAGTAGTTCAAGTACTGTCAACACTGGTGGCATAAGCAAGCCTCCGTTTCTATAGGTGGTCAACATTAGGACCCTCAGCAGGTCATGACAGGACCTCACACCATTGATTCTTACCTGCAAACAGACATACTCTATTGGTTTTTTAATTTGGCCAAGAGTCTAGGTTTAGTTTACTTGTTTATTTTTCTTTTCCTACTTTTAAGTCTAAGGAATTGGAAGTTTTTCAATAACAATGTCTGTACTTTAAGTCCTTGTTTGTGAAGGCAGGTTAAGGAAGTGCCAGGCAGCACTTGAAAAATGATTAACCTTCTTGACACGCCATCCCTTGCTCTAGGACTTCCAGTAGGAAGTTAATAAAGACTCTCCTGGGGAAAGGGGATTAGAGTGTTGTGGTTTTTTTCCTCTCATCAATTGAGTCTTCTAAATTGATTTAGTGGAAGAACAATATATATTTTATTATAAAGTACATATGGGTTTATTAAAATTTAAAATGCCATTAAGCTTTAAAGTCTCGGGCTATTTTGTATACTGTGTTGATTTGCTTTTTATAGATGAGTACTCGAAAACGACTACAAAGTCAGTAGACTGGAGTTAGTATTATAGGTATATCTCTTATTAACTTCTCCCAAAGCAGAAAATAATAAATATCCTAGACAGTGCGTAATGTTAATTTTACAATTACTAAAAACACTTCAGTTAGTCTGTTGGGAAAATGTGTTAATTGCATGGTTTCATGGCCTGGATAAGCTATTTGTTATTTGTGGACTTTCATTCATTTCCTCACCGTGCATGTCCGAATATGTCTGTCCTGTACCTGGTGCTCAAAAACATGTGTCAGGTAACTGGTAACGTGTAGCTCTTATTAAACTGAACTTGTGGTGGTGGACAAACCAGACAGGGAAAAAATAGGTCGTATTTGTCTTTGTGTCTCCAGTGTTTGGCTCAGTCCCTGCTTCTGTTTGTGGAATTGAATTTAGCGTTTTAGATAGTCTTCATGGGTAATGAGTTTTTCTCTCCTAGGTTACTAAATTTAGTTTTTTAATTTAACCATTTGAAATGTGTAGTCCTCTGATAGTGATGGTGTTTGAATTTGCAATTTTAAAAACCCACTTATCAAGGAACCCAAAGATAAAATCTCATGGGGGCCGAATGAGAGAGGCTTCTGGATGTCACTGAGGGACTCTGGGTGGCAGGATGGATGAAGTTTCAGTAGAAACAGTGGGACCGAGCCTCATGCCTTCTCCAAATAGGATGAAGTGCCTCCCTCTAGTCCTCATTTAGAAATGAATTTTTATTTGTTCCAGGCTGCCCTTGAAGTATGCAGAACATTTTTACAGGAAGATAAAGGTGAGGGAGTCATTATGGTGACAGATCCTCCTTTTGGTGGCTTGGTTGAACCTCTGGCTGTTACATTCAAGAAGTTAATTGCTATGTGGAAAGAAGGTCAAAGCGAAGGTGTGTAATTTATTACTTACTGCAAAATAAACATGTATCTGTGTATCTACTTCCTGTCAAATATTAGCAGAGCTCAGTGAATCAGAACACTGATAAAATATACATGTCTTGGGTTCTTGTGTTTTTAGAAACAGGCTTGTTTGAGGAGGTAGCAGACTTCATTAGCATGATACACTTTGCACTGTTCTAATCATGTTTTCAAAATGACTCGTAGATGAGTGTAAGGGAACATTATGAGGAATAGCAGTACACTGTTGTCATTTATTCAATAAATATTTACTGCGTGGCCCCTGTGTTCAGATACTGTTTAGGTCCTGGAAATAGAGTACTGAACTAGATGGACACATGTTCCTGCCCTCATGGATCTTACGTTCCATGTTCCTAAAGTCTCGTCCAGAGCTCCAAGAGGGCCCCCAACCTCTGACTCAGAGCTCTAAACTGTGCCATGGTTTGGGTAGGATGACTGGGTATGCGCTAGCCATGAGTGATTATCTGTGACAAATAGATACCACAGAGATAGAGGTGGGATAGTGGCTGGGGGTTATTATTCAGCTCAAAAGTGCCTTAGGCCTTCAGAGTATTTAATTAATTGTCTAATTAGCTGGCACAGTCATTTTTTTAGTTTCTCGCTTGCAAATTGAAAAACTGTAGGAGTGTCAGGAGTTTGTCATCAAGCTTCTCCTTTAATTGTGTTATGTGAATAGTGTGCTTTGGAGAGAGAATGCAAAAGAAATCTGAAACATGACTCATAGTGTTAAGTGTTCCACTTATTTTCAGTTCTTAATCCACTTATTAGAACAGAAAAGGTCAGTGTTAATTGAGGAAGCAACGAAGTGTTTAGTGGGCTTGAATTTGAGTTCTGGCACTTAATAGGTGCCTGAACTTGAACAAATTCCTTAAATCTTATGGCATCAGTTGCCCTGTCTGTAAAATGGGATTATTAATGTCTAACGCTAGGGGTTATTGTAAGGAGGTAATATATAGAAAGTACCTGGCATTGGGCTACATAATAGCTACATCTTGTATCTGTCATAAAGGTTATTTTTGACTAAGATTGTTTTTTAAGAATCTCCCATGCTTCAGGAAAGATCGACTCATCCCTGAAAATGGATATAACGAGTCGTAGCAGAGCTGAGATCCTGACCTAAGGCCTTCTGCCTTCTAGCCCATACTTCTTGCCACTGCATGACAGTGACCGTGGGGCTTCCAAGCAAGGCTCCTTGTCATTTCCCACTTTATTGGTGATATCTTTGCCTTTACTTAGACTATAGTGATATGCATGTAAGGATTGCTTTTATATACCCCTTGTAACTGTGTTTAGTTGTAAAAGCACATTTCCATTGACTTTTGGGAAAGGTCAAGTTGTAAATGACACTCTGGTAAACATTCTCTTTTGTATGATTTAAGTGCATTGAAAACACTTGCAGTTTCTCCTAATATTAGAGGGTTTGCAGTTACAGCTGTTTTATTTTTTTTAGATAACAATTTATTTTCTTCTCCTTTTTTGTGATCCATTAGATAGCAGTCACAAAGAACTACCCATATTCTGGATTTTCCCCTATTTTTTTGAATCCCGAATTCGTCAGTTTTTTCCAAGCTTCTGCATGCTGGATTACCAGGTATAGTAAAAATTCTGTTTTCTGACGTGGTTGACGAATGGATATTCCACTTACATAAATATTCTGATCAGACTATCCATCAATTTTAGTAAATGAAAATATTACTGACTATATTAAGCACTAAAATGGTACCATATGTAAATTAATCCTGAGGTTCGTAAAGGTAATTCTTAAGGTGTTTACTAAAAATATAGATTCTTAGGTACCAAAATAAACCTACTAAATTAAAATAAGAGAGTAAAGCCCCAAGAAGCCACATTTTACCAAGCTTCCCAGGTGATCCTGCAGCGCAGCTAGGTTTTAGACAGACTGACCTGACCTTTACCATCACCAGAAGATGCCATGGTACCCCAGGGTCATTGTTATGAACAGGGGTTTTGTTCAGAGGTTGTAGAGAAGTCAGTCGCTTCTTCTGGTCAGTGGAATGTCATGTACACTCTACTGTGCCACTCAGAGGATGCCAGGAGCTCTGAAGGGAGGTGTGTCCGTGGTGGCAGGGTGTCAGAGAAGCAGAGATGCTGAGGTCTGTGTGGGTGAGTGTGCTGATTTCAAGGTAAAATTGACCGGCTCTCCTTCCCGTCTCTGCCCTCAACTCCTTCTGCTTTAATATCCACTTTCCTGTATTCATTTCCTTGGGTTCTGAAGTTAACCTCGTTGTCACCATCACCATGTGTGGTCACCGAGTGGCCACTGCTTCCTCTATTGTAATAACACTTTTCTACTTGAGCTTTCTGGGCAATGGACTGCCTTTATAAAGGCTTTCAGCCCTGGCACGGAAAATATCTCCACTCCTTGTTCCAAGCTAGCACTTGGATCTAATCTTTCTAATCTTGAAGGCATTTACCATTATGAAAATTATTTAGAGACTCTGAAAGAAACAGTGTTACCAAAAAATGAGAGGACAGACCCTACCTGCGATTCCACCCCAACTAGCAAATATCATAATTTGACACATAGGTTTTTAATCATAGCAGATGAATCCGAATTCTACTTTCCTCACTATGTCTTATGCAAGTGTACAGTTTTAAATGTAGCTCCATAGTCTTTATGCTTTTAAACACTTTATTTTTTTTTTTAAAGATTTTATTTATTCATTTGACAGAGAGCACAAGCAGGGGGAGTGGCAGGCAGAGGGAGAGGGAGAAGCAGGCTCTCTACTGAGCAGGGAGCCCGATGTGGAACTCGATCCCAGAACCCTGGAATCATGACCCCAGCCAAAGGCAGACAGTAATCTGACTGAGCCACCCAAGTGCCCACTGTTAATCACATTATATTATTTGATTAGCAGGTTATATTTTTTTTTCTTAGATACACAGGTTGCTTTACCTTAAAGTACTATAAATAACACTACCATAAACATCTTTTATTCATATAATTTTTCCATATTTTATATAACTTCCTTAAAATAAATTTCCAAAACTGAAATAGAATTCCAAAAATTTCATTATCAAATTTAATGGACATTTTTATGGCTACTGAAGTATATAACAGGTTCCTTTCCAAAGTATATAGCACAAGTCCTTTTAACCTGACTTCTTGAGTTCTGCATTAGGCAAAGTCCAGATCATAATTCTTCCCAAATCTGGTTTACTTTCATTATTAGAGCACATAGTTTTCTGTTTCTTGTCTGAGGGGTACTTCTAGTATTGAGGTTTGCAGTGCTGAAATAACGGACATATCCTAAAGATGTTAACTAAATAAACTACAGCTGGCAGGAGCGCCTGCTGTCTTTGACAGTGAATAATCTTCTAGTACAATGTCTGGCACAGAGGAGGTGCTTAAAACATTTTGAATGAAAAACAGCATGAACTCTGGAGTTGAAAAGGAACTGGGTTTTAATCCTGGTTCTGCCACTTACTTACACATTTTATCTAATTCTCTGCAGCTCATGTGACCTGTTGAATGAGCAGAATAATAATATATCTGCCTCATGAGGTTTTAGGAATTATATGAGACAATACAGGAAAAAGCGTAGCCTAGTCCCGGACACACAACAAAATAGACTAAAGATAAGTGCTCCCAGCATTGTTGAGACCATTGGCATAATGTCACCGTTCAGATAGTCTCTGAGTGGGGGTAAAACTCTTCTTTGGGGCTTTTTTGTTTCTTTGTGTTTTGGTACAGTATATGAAACATTAAAATTGCAAAACATAAGATCCCTCAGAAGACTGTTCTATGCACATTTAGAAATGAGTTTTCACTGCAGACAAGAGCTTGAAATGGCGAGGAGGCCAAAGAAGGCAGATCCAGGGCAGCCCCGGTGGCGTAGCAGTTTGGTGCCGCCTGCAGCCTGGGGTGTGATCCTGGAGACCTGGGATCGAGTCCCACATCGAGCCTGCTTTTCCCTCTGAATGTGTCTCTGCCCCTCTCTCTCTGTGTCTATGAATAAATAAATAAAATCTTAAAAAAAAAAAAAAAAAGAAGGCAGATCCAGAGTAGAGTGGATGAGAGGTTAATGTGGAGAAACCAGCCATGGCTTGTTTTGATGGCCTGAGTTACTAGAACGGAACTTGGGGAAGTACTGGAGTCTCAGTTTTGAGAAATAGTCCCAAGGTCCAAGCTTATTAAAAATAATTCTACAATTCAGTGTATTGGTAAAAAAAGTTTCAAACTAGGCCATATCAGATAGGCCATATCAGGGTGAAAAGCGGTCTTTTTTTTTTAGTAAAGAGAAAGCCAAACTCTGAAAAGAAAAACTAGAATAAAAGCTGTGAAACAAATCTTCATTTTTCCTAAAAATCTTATCTTTCTACTAAAGACAAGAACACTTACTGCCCATTGCATGTGCAGTTGGAGAAACTGATTGTACCATATCTCCTATTGTGTTTATAAACCTTATTTGTTGTACCTCACCTTGATAATCTATTTTTCTTTCTCTTTTCTTCTTTCTTTCTTCCTTGAAAATGTTTCTGGATGTATTATTATTATCCTTTCTGAAACTTATTTTCTTCCTTTTCTCTCTTGTTATTTTAACCTGGTTTTGTAGCAGTTCTTTGTCTTGTATATTAGCTGTCTTCATCAAATGAAAAATTTGAAAGTCTCTTGTCCTCCTTCACAGGTTTTTGCCATAGACTGTGATTAGACCTTCTTTTTCACATTGCCTAAGATGATTATAAGCCCCCTAAACCACAATGCAGAAACAAACAAACAAACCCAAATCACTAAATCTCTTTTTTCAAAATACTTTTCAGGTAAAAGGAAGGTAGAAATGCTGCAGATCTTCATAAAATATAAATTATGTAGACTTCTTCAGTGATAAAGCACTTGATGAGTACAGAATAAAACAGTCATCAAAGACCTAGAAAAGCAAGAGTTTTATTAAGGGCAGAGTAGGAAGGAAGAATGTGATAATATAAGAAATTCTAACTCAGAGTCAGAAGTATGCGTCCTAGCACACTGACTTTTAGACGCTCTTTAATCTTGGGAGAAGTCAGTGTATCTTCTGGTCTCTGTTTCCTTACCTATAAAATAAAGTGATTGAATCAGGAAAGAGATGGCAGCTAAGTTCCACTTTTAGTGCTTTAGTGGGAAGCCTGATAAATTGGTAGCGACTTTCCAGAGAATTTGTTGAGAGTATCAGGCTTGGTGGCAGGGAGTGGTGTGTGATGGATTAGTGGTGTCCACCACAGGGGCCGGGCGGGGGTGTGGTGGCATTCAGGTCCTGTACTTACTGTATCTGAACTAGGTGGCCTCACTTCCCTTCCACTGTGAACGTGCTGTGATCTCTTGTTTCTCCCTAATGTCGGACATTTGTCTAGATTGTTAAAAGTAGAGCTTTGGGTTTTATTTTTTTACAGCTATCTTTTAAATAATTCTCCTGTGTAGAAAACTGTCTTTCGAGGTTAGTTTCACGTTCAGAAATGAAGATATTTTGACAGGGCTCTGGTGGAAGTTGGCTGATGGCGATATTTTGATACACTGAAACTAAGGAGAACACAATCCCGAAGGAGTTAGCGAACTACAAGTACTCTTGTCTTACTTCATCTTTGTTTCCCAGCAGGATGCCTAGAACATAGTAGGTGCAAAATAAATGTCTGTTGACTTGAAAGTCTTGGTTTCCTTATAACTAGTTTCAGTCTCATGTCACAGAAGAAATTTGCGTATAGATAAAATTAAAAGTTAAGAATCGCAGAGATTTTGTGCTTTCCCTCATTTCTATACAGTACTTCATCACATTAATCAGTTCCATGGGAGAAATTTTCTATTTGAAAATGCCTCTCATCATCATTGTGAGTGAAATGTCAGAGATAATGATGGGAAAATGGTGTATCAGCTCTACCACTAGTGATATGCAATTTGCAAAATTGTGTTTGCTTTACAGCGCTTCCATAGGACGTTTATTTGTGTGGATGAAGCTATGAAATATGGATGTATGTTAGAGGTACATTAATTTACCCTAGCAGCATGCGTTTTACATACCATATGTTTATAGTTAATTAGCACAACAAACCCACATTTAAAAATAATAATAATCTCAATTAGGTTATGCAAAATCAAGCAATCAACTACCTTCCTGACACATACATTTTCGACTCCTTGGGTAACCATAAAGAAATTGTTCTTTCTTTCCCTCTCTTCCATCTGCTGTCTATTGTATTACATGGGATATTCCATTTACTAGAAATCTTTCTAAGGCCCTCTCTTCCAACATTTGAAGATCTCCGAAAGGTTCTCTTGGGAAGATTTTTTTTTTCCCCTATGACATCCATAAATGTTCAAAATATCTTTGTTGAATTTAATAAGGTGTCATATATTTATTAAATACATAGAGGAATGCATTAGGGAATAATTGGGAATTTAAATCATTTTTAAAGAAAACTACATTAATATTTTAAGGTAGTTTTGAAGTAAAATCTGCTTTTATATCTTAGCCTCTAATAGGTGACATATATTCATAGAATTTTAAAGTTGGAAAGAACCATTAGGGGTGTAACGTAGGCTAACTTCCCACCATAATAATCCTCTCCACTAAATTCATGACAAGCAGTCGTCCGGCCTCACTTGAATGCTTTCAGTGAGCCAAGTCCTGCAGTCTTACAAGGCAACTCAATTTATTTAATAGCTCTAATCGTTAGAAAATTTTCTCATATTGAGATAAAATATGCTCCCTATTAACTTCTAACCATTGGTCCTACTTCTGTTCTCCAAAGCAATAAAGGCTTAGTCTAATTTCGAATCCACTGACACCCCTTCAGTTATAAAATAGCTATCAGATCCTTCCAGTTTGTGGTTTTCTGAATAAATACCCCCGAAATGTTAAACAACAAATCCTATTTATTCCCATTACTTTCAGTAGAAATGAACTGGTTTTATCAGTGAATGCAGGACTTCAAATGTGATCTAACCTCATGCTTTCCTTGTTAGGATGTTACACTTCTGTACAGGGCAGCTCTGGGCCAGCACCAGCTTTCATACGGTACGCTAGACTGTGGATTCACCGTGTTGACAGGAACCAGAACCCCCAGGGTTTTGGTTTTCATTTTGGGTTGGTTTTTCCACACTGTCCCTTGTCTAGCTGTTCTGAGTCTGTTGATAAATAAGCAAACTCTTGCTTTTAAGAATTTCTTCTTAAATACTTTGGTTTAACTCTTAGCATCAGCTTGTTCTTTATTGGTTAAGAAATCTTCATCGACGTTGACTCATTTGAATAAATTTTCTTTTTCAATTTTTTTAAACTTTCTAGGTAGATTATGATAATCATGCACTTTATAAACATGGGAAGACAGGTCGTAAACAGTCTCCTGTGCGTATTTTCACCAATATTCCGCCCAACAAAATAATCCTTCCTAGTGAAGAAGGGTACAGGTAAGATCCTAGTGAGGCCTTGAAATACATGAGTCATTGAAAATAAAGTTCCATATATCTAATATCAAAATGTTGTTAATACTGGCTCATATAGCTCTTCTGTTACTTTTAAATTTGGTCTATAATTTTATATTGAATTTGGATTGCACTCAATCTTTGTAATAATTGTCTACTCTGTGAGTCTTGCTGAGAATATGCCGCTGATTTATCTGTTTCTTTCCTCCCTAGATTTTGCCCTTTGTGTCAACGATACATCTCCCTAGAGAATCAACATTGTGAGCACTGTAATTCTTGCACCTCCAAGGTATAGGTTTCTATAGAATGCATTTTTATTAAAACATATTCAGTTTATTTTAGCTTACTAGTTTCATTACATTTGCTTACTGTTATTTTGATGATATAATTTGTATTACCATATTATCATTTACTAATTATACTTCAATACAATATTTTATTTCTAATTATAAAGTACAACAGGCTTTAAAAAATAGGTACCTCCATCATCAACAGTTGTTTGAATTCACTTTTTTTAAAAAAAGATTTTCTTTATTTGATCAAGAGAGAACACATGGGGGGGTTGGGAGGCAAAGGTAGATTGAGAAGGGAGCCTGACGCCATGGACATGGGATCATGACCTGAGCTGAAGGCAGACGCTAGACCAACTGAGCTACCCAGGCACCCCTGAATTCACTTTTATGTGAGACATCTATGACTGCTAAAGTAGGAGTATTACAGATAAGGCACGAGAGGAATGCTAAACTTTGTTGAGGGTAAAATTAAGATGCTTCAAACACGGTACTGAACTATAAGATACTCTCCCTATTCTGATGAAATAATAACAACATATACTATGTACTTTTTATGTGCCAGGATCTTTCCTACCATACATGGATTAACTCAGTCACTCTGCCCAAAGCCTGAGTAGATAAGTATTTCCCAGTTTTTATAGATCAGGAAAGACTACGGGGACATACCCCCTATTTATTGTTTTAAGGAGGTGGGATGGCCCTTAAAGGGACCTGTTTATTTTAACTAAATCCAGTCAGAAAGAATATGTGAGGTTTAGTTTGGCTCATATGCACAAATAATTCTCCAAAGGAAACGCTGTATTTTTATAACTATCATAAAGTATATTTTTCATAACCTCACAATTTTATGACTGGTTATACTTGTTTTTAACTGTGGTAGTGCATCTGATTACATGTAATTTCAATCAGTTTAGAAACTCTCTGTGTTCTTTATTTAAAAAAAAAAAAAATATGCCCAGGTCTTATAAATCTCAAAATGAGGAAAACGAAGCATCTTTATTTAGAGGTGCACACACAAATGGTAAAAATAAACAAAAGCAAGGAAGTGTCCATCACAGAAACCAGGCTAAGTGTTACTTGGTGGGGAAGGAGGAATGCTTGATTTTTAAGGAGCATGTGGGAAAGTGATGGGGGGACAGTATTCCTTAACCTGTTGGGATTCATCAGTGTGTGCTGTATAATAGTCATTAAACTGGACATGTAAGTGTCTTACATAGTTTTCTAGGTAGTTTCATTTCACAGGTTTAACATTACCCAAACAGTAGCCTATAATCTCTATCTTTTAAAATTATCTAAAGTTCTCAAATATGAATTTCACGAAGGATTATGCCGCATAGACACGTAAAAGTTATGAATCATTAATTCTCTTGAAATTTTCATCAAGTCCTTCTTTGTGTAGATTGGGTTGCTTGAACTAGAGTAGACTTTTCAAGATCATGTAGATAAATCCCCTAGTTTTCCAGTTAAGAAAATTGGGGCCCATCAAGGAGACGTTTGAGTAGAGTGGAGAAATGCATAGATTAAAATCAAAGTATTTAATTGTGAAGCCCAGGAAAGTGAGAAATAAGGAATGAATAATTTACACAGATTTTAATAAGACATTTTAATTTTTAATTGTGGAACTTGATTTTTAATGATGGATTAAACATAATTTAAAATTATTTTTGTAGGATGGCAGGAAGTGGAACCACTGCTTTTTCTGCAAAAAGTGTGTAAAACCTTGTAAGTATTTAAACTTAGTGTTTGAGAGCCTATGAAAACATTTCAGAGTTTTTCTTCACCTAAATAGGATTTTTATTTAATTGTATTTATAAGAGGAAAAAAATTAATATAGAGACCGGCATTGATTTACCTGCTTTCTAATTTTTGCAGTTACCAAAGTGCACACTCTCTCCTTCATAGGGAGACATGACTTTGTAACCTGTTTCAGTGTGGCATTTGGTTTGGCTTATTTTAATAGGGCTTTGTGTCACTCAGCCAGCCCCCATTGTGTCAGTGGCTCTCAGCTTATGACTCATTGAAGAAGGGCTGCATTTGTTGCCACATATCAGAAAGAAGTTAGCTGGGTTATGTGGGATTCCGACCTCATAACCTTGGCCTCTTTAGCCAAATTATAACCAGCAATGCCAACTGGTCACATTATCTGAACTAAACACTATTCATGTTTCCCTGTCATAAGGGCTGATCAAATGAAAAATTATATATTAAATGAACTTCTTCTAAGACTTAATTTTTATTTTGTAGCCTGGATCCACTGTAGCGTTTGTGGTCACTGTGCACTTCCAGATCATTCTTGCGGGGGCCCTAAAGAAGGCTGCTTTATTTGTGGTGAATTAGACCATAAACGTAGTACTTGTCCTAAAATTACTACATCTAAGAAAGTGAACAGGTGAGTTGACTTCTTTTATTGCCTAGAAAAAAAATTTCCTTCTGTGATTTGTATAAAGCAGTCTTTAAAAGTATGCATTAAGGATTCAGAAGTGCTGAATTACTTGCTGTCTTTACTGTTATTTATTGTTTGCATAGATGAGGGGAGTGTGAGTAAAAGAGCTTAACATTTTTACAGGTAAGACATGAAAATCACCAAAGTATAAGGTAGAAACTGATTAACTTTATATGTCCTGTGGGTCATGTGAAATTATAATTTGTAGGGAGAGAGCCCAAGCTTTATTGATGGACATGATATTTAAGTCAGGATAGATCGGGTGCAGACACATGACAGCAGGCGAGGCTAGAGAAGGCATTTCAGATGGAATGTAGTGTGTAATCCCACGGTGAACACATTGGAAAATGAAGATCTCTCTAAATTATATCAGACTTCAAAAAAAATCATTTACTATTTAAAGATGAAAATTTTAATTTTTACCACTTTTTTTCTATGATTATTTTTACTTCTTTCGACCAATATTTGGTTTTGGTTATCACTCAGAGCAAAGTTATACCGATGACAACAGCATATTTAGAAAAACTATTGCTATTTCAACTGGGCTCATTTGAATGATTACACTTAGAAAAAAACCTAAAAGGGATGATAGTTATTGAGTCTTCTTGTTTTATTGTTATGAAAAGCACACATTAACATTATGTGATAATTGGGCAGCCCGGGTGGCTCAGTGGTTTGGCTGGCTCAGTGGTTTGGCGCAGCCTTCAGCCCAGGGCATGATCCTGGGGACCCGGGATCCAGTCCCACATTAGGCTCCCTGCATGGAGCCTGCTTCTCCCTCTGCCTGTGTCTCTGCCTCTCTCTCTCTCTCTCTGTCATGAATAAATAAATAAATCTTTAAAAAAAAAACTTGTGAGAATTGAGGTCAGCATAACATTTTTGAGCTATCTTACGACTTGTGATAAAAAAAAATTCTTAGTATTAGAAATATCTAATGTTATTTATGATTGTATTAGAATTCTTTTCTCTTTGTTAATTTTTTTTTAGTCAGTGGCAATTAGTTTTTGCCAGTAAGGCCCAGCTATTTAAATTCTGCCTACTGTTTTATTTTTCCATCACTTTTCATCAAATTTACTTTAAACAGTTATTTCCAGTAAGTAATCCAGGGTAGAAATGAAAGTTTCTAAATTAAGTAGTGTATAAAAGATTTTTTCTTAGAAACCTTTAGGAATAAAGGACCACCTAATAAGCTAGTGGCATGGGATTGTTGCCCCATGCACGAGGTAATTGTGGTTGCAAACAGTAATGTGCTCAGACTTTCAGTGTGTGATCTTACGATACGTGGAAACTTAATTTGCGTTTTGCTAATGTCTTATAGGCTCCTTGTTGGCTCCTCTAGCTTGGGCTAGTTTGCTGAGTAGTATCCTATTGTTTTCATTGAAGGAAACCATTTAGTATCTTTCAGTACTAGATTTTATCAAGTTTAATTCAGGGAGCAAATCCATTAGGATGTGGTATACCTGATAAGTCTTAAATAGCATTACTTTTTTTCTCTCAGAAGAGACTCCTAAACTCCTGCAAACAGTTATCTTCAGGGATGGCTTTCAAAAAATTTTCCTAATGAAATTGGCAAGGCAAATTTTTTTCTTTACAATGATAAAAAATAATTTAAATCACCTTTTTTTTTTTTTTTAGCATATATGGCATAAAAGATCTCACAGCTGTCATATTAATTTGTTTTTCTTGAGTTTAATTTGCCTTTGCTCATGAAGTGGAATGGTGCTGGCTCCCTCTTGTGGTTAATCATTTTTATCATTACATAAATACCTATAATTTAGAGGACAAACACTAGGTCAATTCAATTTTAAGGCAAAACAAAATAATGAATTGATTTATACTCAAGCAGTGCAGTTTATACTCAGTTGAAAGACTTTATCTCTGGAAAGTTTGTTTATTCATATTACAAATGAATATTTTCTTCTGCTTTTGTTTACTGTGTCCTTTAGTGGGGTCTGCTGGTTCATGTTTAGTTCTTCTTATAAGTAGATAAGCCGAAGAAAATTTGTTTAAATTTTCTTTACAGGCACACACAGCTTCATTGTGCCATCAAGAGATTATACTTAGTAAATTTGCTAAATCATCCCTTGTCAGGACATTAACCTACTTAAAATAATGGCTGGAGGGAAAGGAGATTTATATAACCTACAAAAGAGTATAAAGATAGCTGTGGTATTTGTTTTATTTTTGAACTGATAGGTTACCCACTGTAAAATCCAAAATCTAAATAAGAAAAAATGGAAAGTTGTCAAGCAAAATTCTGAAAAATAGTCATGTGGAGCTACTAATAATAGCTAATGTTTGTTTAGTGATTACTCTATGCTTAGGGCTTCACATATCTGAAAAGTTTAGGAGAGTATATAGTATCAAGGTAGTTAAGAACACAGGTTCTGGCATCAAGCTGGTTCTGCTGGTTCCTCACAGAGGATTTCATAGCCTGTTTCTTCCCCGCCAAAAAAAAAATTGGGGGAGGGAAATGATAAGTGACATCTACCTTGTCTCAGTCTCCCAGATACTTGGAGTCAAAGACTATGCCTCTCATTTTTGTATTTCCAGCCCTTACTATATATGTTGTGTGAACAAAAAGCGAGGCCTGCGTTTGCTCCACTGAGGGATCATATACTATACATGAAGGCCCTTTGCTGGATTTTGGTCTTGGGAAGATGAAGAATAAGCTTCTCTCTAGGACTTGGGGTTTAGGAGAAGTGAGTCTAATGACAGATATTACTGGGTACCCTTGGGGATCTTCCAGGTTTGCCCGTGGTGGCAGCCCCAGCCCTTTCCTTGGTTTGTGATATGATAAATGGCATGATTCTGCTAGCTTGGAGAAAATGAATGAACCGGCCGGTAATCTTTCTCAGCTATAGATTGTCTGGAACCTAGCTCAGAGAGCACCAGAAGCTTAAGGATCTGTTTCGTTCTGGTGTAGTGTTCTTAGAGCGTGAGTTCCAAGTCGATCATTGTGAAGCTCGTCACTCAAGAAGGCAAAGACCACAACATGTGGACATCCTGTGTGGCACTTGTCTGGACTTTTAGACCCATCAAGGAAAGGAAAATTAGCTGTAGAGCTTACAAGATGGGCCTCTGTAAGTGCTGCCCATTTTTCCATTGTGCCATTTCATTTCTCTGCCTCTGCTAACTGGCACATGTATCGGTCCTTTTCCTGAAAAATGTAATTCAAGGATTTGAAGATTGAAATGCTGAGTTGAGCAGTACAGATGTACCAATACCAAAATAGCAGCAAAACACCCTCGTACCTCATTGGCCTTACTGTTTTTAAGTTTTAAATAATATATGTCCCAAATATTATTTGAACACATAATCGATATAAAAGTTATTGACAAAATATTTTGTGTTCTTTCTTCAATATCCGGTATGCATTTTATGTGTAGAGCACATATTCTCACCACATTCCAAGTGCTTGGTGGCCACATGCTGACCAGAGGCTACCATATGGTTAAGCACAGTGGGTGGCTTTTCCTGGCTTGACTCTCTACCTCTGGTGGGTTTCTCCCAAATAAATCTGTAGTAACCGTCTTTCAGAGAAATTTCTTTACTTAAGCATTTTGCTTAGTCAGGCCTCTGATTGTCTCCTTGTTATTATGGTGAGGATTCTGAGGATTTATGCTTATGATACAGTAAATTCTTCTCCTTCTTATTTGGTCAGCTGGTTAATTAAATTCCAACATAATTACATAATTCACTATGCTTATTCTACAAAATAATTTAGCACCTTGTTTTTCAGAGCTGTCAGAAAGCAGAAGCAAAGAAAAAGTAATAAGATGAAAATGGGGATCACTAAAGGACAGTCCATGAATCATACATCTGTTACAAGGAAGAAGAACAGGAGAGAAAGAGCCCATCAATATCTTTGCTCTTAAATGTCCAGTGACTCGAGAATAAGAAAGATTTATTGTCCAACCTTTGATGCCATTTTCTGAAAGGGCCACATTGGACTTAAATTCTGTTGCTTTCAAAGGTATGCACCTTTCTAAGCCAGATAATAGGCAGGTAGTATTTGCTGGTTTATGGACACCTCAGCAGCCTCTCTGGGGACATGGGGAGGTGTTCCATCCTGAGCTGGTTGACCAGATCTTTCTGTGTGCCTTTTTTCTCACTTTAAATCTCTCCCAATCACATGATTTGGGCCTCCTTTGAACAACGGGCATGCAGCATTCTTTTGCAGAAAGTGTCAGAAGAAAAATGAAAGTGAGAATGTGAAGTCTGGTTTATGTTAAACACAAGAATGTTAAATTAGATACAGAAATGTTCTAAGTTAAGTATCAAAATATTGTATGATGACTTAAACCCCTCTTGCAAAGAAAAGTACAATGAACAATTAGTTTTAGACAAAATCTGAATATGATGGAAAGAATTTCCAAAAAGTAGTCTTAAGATACAAAGATTATAATTATGGTTTTATTATTAAATACTTGTCAAGTCCTTTTTACAGTGTCCTTTGATGGTGTAGAAGCACTTAAATGTTGTAGAATGAATGAGACGTCTAGAATTATGACTCGCTCCGTCAACTCCATGTCTTTTAACTGAAGCAGTAAATTTATTTCTTTGTAAAAGTAGTAGCAGAAGGCAGGATAGTTTGGAGACTAAAACCTCTCGTCCCTATTCTGATGAACCCTTCCTGACTGTATGTCCTTGGCCAGGTCATTCACTCACAGCCCATTTCTTTGTTATTATGTAATTATCTTATTACAGGCTTGTTTTTATGGTTATGTTAAGTGAGGCACATGTGCCTGGCTCTCATTTCCATGAGTGAGAAATGTTAACAAGGGCAGATGGATGGGTACGGGGCCCTAATGGTAATCATATGGTTGTCCAGTATCACTGTAGTGAAGGGGCTGGGTTTGAACTCTGAGAACACACAGGCCGTCTCCCCTTTCTCTGCTGGGTATCGGACGTGATCTCCTTAGGGTTGCATACTTTTGGTTGCTTTCATTTGCATAATGACTTTTCTCTTACTCCCAAACAGCTGCTTTAGAGCAGGTTTGGAAGCATGCTTGCTTGGGCTTAGCTACAGTCCTGTGAGTGAAGGTGCAAGAACTGCACCCCATCTGGCAATGAAATTCCATCTGGTCTTTAAGTTAGGACTGTTTGATGCCTGGTGTGGAAGGCATTAAGCATGGCCCTGATCAGTGGATGGGGCTGTATATCCAGCGATATCAAAAGATGAGCTAAGCCCCCTGGACCAAACAAGAATCAGAAAACACTTCCCTTGGGACGCCTGGGGGGGGGGGGGCGGTGCTCAGCAGTTGAGCAGCTGGCTTTGACCCAGGGTGTGATCCTGGAATCCCTGGATCGAATCTCCTCATATCGGGCTCCCTGCAGGGAGCCTGCTTATCCCTCCCCGGCCCGGCCGTGTCTGCCTCTCTCTCTGTGTCTCTCATGAATAAATAAATAAAGCCTTTTAAAAAAAAAGAAAAGCACTTCCCTTACCCCCTTTTGCACGTGGGCTGCTATGGTGATCAGAACGGTAGATTTAGAGGTGACTGGGTGAGATAGGAAGGAACCTTTTGCAGAACCATTGTGAGTGTTCCCCTCCCTGATTCGATTTCAGCTCAGGTCATGATGTCAAGGATGTGAGATTGAGCTCCTCCTCCTCCACCCACCGTGTCAGGCTCTGCTCTCAGCAGGGAATCTGCTTGAGACTCTCTCTCTCTCTCTCTCTCTCTCTCTCTCTCTCTCTCTTTCTCTCTCTGCTACCCCCCAATAAATAAATCTTTTAAAAATTTTGGTGATTTTGCTTTTGTGTTCAATTAATACTAATTTTAAGAACTAACTGCTTCTTTCTTTTCTCAAGTAGTAAAGAATAGGATGTTAAAATGTCTCTGGGATGTAAAGTGTGATGGGAGATGAGTTTATTTGTTCTAATTAGAAATATGCGTTTCTGAATATTAAGATACCTACCTACTCAAAACAGCAATTGAGGAAAGTCCCTAAATTAGACACCTAAAATTTTCTAAGCTTTTTAAGAGGATGTTTTTCTTAAATTATTACAGCTAAATTTCATTAAACTTCTTGCTTATATTACAAAATTCAAGGAAATCCAGAGTCACTTTGTAGGCCCTGAGTGATCATATTTCAAGTTTTTTCTTATATTTAGTTTGATAGACTAATTCACTTCTGATTTATTTCTCCAATATGCCCACTGTTTTCACCTCTTCCTCTTCTTTATGTTTCCAGGAGTATTTCCTTCCATCTGGCCACCTATTAAAGTCTTATGGAGCCTTCAGGCCCTGGCCGGAATCCCACTGTCTTCTGGGAAGTCCAGGCTGTGTCCCTGCTACCATCCCATACCTTCCTCTCTGGAGGTGTTCTGCAACCACATTTCAGGCACTTTTCGTGTATTGTTCTGTGATTAGGCTTACAGATTTTGTTTCCCCAAAAGATTTCAGTTTCTTAATGCCCATACCCATTTTATACCATCTTATATCTTTCATGCATTATGTAGTCGCTCAAAAAATTTTGATGAAAGCATGGAATCTAGAAGTCTTCATATGGTAGGTGTATTCGTGTGGTAGGGCTACCATAACAAACTATCAGAGACTGGCGGCTTACATCACAATAATTTATCTTCTCACAGTTCTGGAGGCCGGAAGCCCAAGATTGAGGTATTGGCAAATTTGGATCTTCTGCCTCTCCTTAGCCTCCCGTGGTGTTTCCTTTGTGTGTATGATTCCCCGCTATCTCTCTGCATCCAGGTTTCCTCTTTAAGGATACTAATCAGATTGGGTTAAGGTCCACTCACATGGCCTCATTTTACCTTAATTTCCTTTTTAAAGTCCCATCTCCAAATATAGTCCCATTCTGAAGTACTGGAGGCTGGGCTTCAACATCTGGATTCAGAGGGTACCGTTCAGTTCTTAACAGGTGTGCCTAAGACACGGAGAGGTCTTAGTCTTTCCTCTTTGTTTCATTTATTTATTTTAATCGTTATTATTTTTGTAAAGTGAGCTCCACTCCCGGGGTTGAACTTAACGACCCCGAGATCAAGACCGGATTGCTGAGATCAAGAGCTGGACGTTCAACTGACTGAACCACCCAGGCTCCCCTCGGTCTTTCCTCTTTCCTAGAAGGACTGAAAAAAGGACAACAGGCTGAAACAATATTGGAGGGTACTTAGAGTCAGTAGGAAGACGGTCTTGCTACTGAGGGTTTAGGTGTGTGTTAATGATTGGGATGTACTAGGTGAGCAAGACTGAGAACCTTTAAACTTCGAATAATTCAGCTTTCGAGGTAATTTTAAGAAAAACCCGTAGGTTGATGTCTGACCCCCTCAAAGTCATCTACAAAATACTAGGACATCTAGGAGAAGTCTAATTTTTAAATAAAATCACAGCCCACAAAGGGTCCTGGTGTGATGCTGCCTGCCTCAAGATGTCCCCATTGGTGTCTCTCCTGGAATAGTATGTTTCTTGCCAGTGAAATAAAAACGTGCGTGTTTGTATGTCTTTCATCCCCATTCCTACTTTCTTTTTTTTTCCCCCTACTTCTTTTAAGGTACTTAAACTATGCCCTGTATTAGATCGACTTTTTTGTACTTACTTCCCCTGTCCAGATAAGCTCGTTGGTAGCAGTGGCCTGTGGACACCGTGGTGTGTGTTCACTAGCTCCTGGAGCTGTGCTTTGCACACTAATGTCAGAGACAACTGCTGCACCTGTGACTTCACTAATTCTCCCCACGACCCCAGGAAGTGGGTGGCTGACTAACACCCTGGCTCACCCACCAAGTGGTAGCTGCTCATAAATCAGGACTGAGTGAGTGGAGATGCCATGTAATATACTGTGTGAGGTCTCAAAACCCTAACTGGGCGACCTGAGTAAGAAGCTAAGATGCTTAGAGCTGCCGAGGTAAGGAGTGCTTGCACAAAATGCAAAGGAAAATCCAATTTCACCTATTTGATGCGATTTTAATTGGAGCATGAGGACAGGGGTTAAATTAGTCAAGGGTCAGCTAAGAAGGTCATTGCAATCAAGTGAAGATGAGATCTCTGACAGTTTGATTTCAGGCGAGTTAGTATAAATGTTAACTCAGCAAGACTGAGGGGGGAAAAACACCCAAGTGAGCAAGCAGATCTCGGAGCTCTGAGAGGTGAGTATTATCCTGTTAGCTGGACAGGCACAAGGTTCTCACACTATTTGGTTACTTAATACCACTGCAGATTAGAGGCCTAATATCTGCTGGTCTCTAAGAGACTAGGCCTGAGTAGATGGGCCAGTTTCTTCACCTGTGAATGTAGGGGCGAGGAGTAGGAGAAATCAGAGAAATCAGACAATATTTTATGTGCTTAATGAGGACAGAAAGACAAAGGGCTCACCTGTCGACTTTACAATTAATGCACGAGCCAGGTAAATCAAAACGAAAAGCCTCTCCAGTCCTACCTCCCAGAGATAACCACTGCCACAACTTCTGTGTATGTTCTTCAAAAATAAATTTTTGCATAAATAGCTATATAAACACACTCTAAAATATCCCCCACATGGGGATCCCTGGGTGGGGCAGCGGTTTGGCGCCTGCCTTTGGCCCAGGGCGCGATCCTGGAGACCCGGGATTGAATCCCACGTCGGGCTCCCGGTGCATGGAGCCTGCTTCTCTCTCTGCCTCTCTCTCTCTCTGTATGACTATTGTAAATAAATTCAAAAAAAAATTAAAAAAAATAAAATATCCCCCACAAAAAATGGAATGGGGACTACCTACCATTTTGTAATCCTCTTTTTCATAAACATCTGAACATCAGTTTATATTTACAATGGTAGTATTCTTCAGTATGGGTATAATGTATTTTTTTTAAATTTTTATTTATTTATGATAGTCACAGAGAGAGAGAGAGAGGCAGAGACACAGGCAGAGGGAGAAGCAGGCTCCATGCAGGGAGCCCGATGTGGGATTCGATCCCGGGTCTCCAGGATTGCGCCCTGGGCCAAAGGCAGGCGCCAAACCGCTGTGCCACCCAGGGATCCCCTGTATTTTTTTTTTAAATCATCCTCTTATGGTTGGACATCTAATTTGTTTGCATTTTTTCACTCTTGTAAACAACTTGTAAAAGTGCTAACCACACTGATGACTTTCCTTTGTTTCCTTAGAGCTTTCGATACCTGTGAATACTGGTTCTGTAGCTCTTATTAGAACTATTCTTCAGATTGGAATCACATGAGTTGGTCTCTGAATTTCTTTCGCAGAGACAGACAAAACAGCCCGGATTTAGACTCACTCTGGCAGGATGGACCTTGGGAGATAAAGGTATCTCCCAAATACCTTTATACTTAAAACTACCCTTTGGCTAGTTGTGATTGAGTGTCCGGTTGAACAGTGTTGACTGGCTGTGTCGGCAGGATCTTTCCCACCCTTCAACGTGTGCCTGTCATGGGGTTTGGGAGAGAGATGACCCGACATCCTCTCCAGCTCTTGGGGAGGACTTTTTTTTTTTTTT